GTTTTTTACAACGTTTACAAGTTGAACTGCATGCCTATGTTCCTAATATGTTGTTTATCGATTTGCAAGTAATGGTCACAAATATATAAATATTTTAAAAGATTTGTAGTCTACACTTATTTAGACTGCGAATATTTATGCAAACTCAGGCTTTTATGAACACGAGAATGAAAGAATGAAATCTGGAGGAGAGATCTGTTTCAGTGACTAAATATAAATAACTTTGCTGACAATGAAATGAGAAATTGATTATTGCACTGCACGATAGTAAGTTCGAATAATTTAACTGGATTGCTCATTGTAATGTTCAATGCGTGAGACAAATGCTTAGATTCCATTTTTTTACTTACTTCATTCGTAAAAATATAAATCTTAACTTAACTTGATAACAAATTAAAAGTACAAACCTTCTACATCATTGAATCTTAAATTTGCATCACATACACATAAAAATGTCACGTAGAAATAAAAAACTTCTTTGAAATCAACTCTTACATTTTGATATCGAAATAAAGTCTGCATTTGATTGCCAAAGAATAAGATAGTTAACGTATCTAACATTGATTCATTAGTCTGATGATATTTTACTGAATATATAGGATTGAAATATTGAAATATAACTCACATGCCCTTTCTCAAAGGCCTTAGCTTGTTCCTAATAATTTTGAAGTCTGGTCGAATCTCGGCATCCTCGGCCCAACACTCCATTAGACAAGCGCGCACGAACTGGAAACAGTTCTCCAACTGGTTCAACGGTGGTCTGAGATAATTCAAGGAAAACAGAGTAGCTGACAAGGTGGGGACAAAAGCACATAAAATTTACGTGTCATCTTCTGCCGTCGACAGACAGCGATTTTAACCCTTTCGGTACGAGCGCTCTGCCCGTCGTGCATTAAATAAGAACTGTGCTTAATAAAACAATGTTTCTTCTAACAAATGTCGTCAGTTTCAATATTAAAAGACATTTGTATTAAATTCTGTTAATTATACAAGTAGACACAGGTCATCAGATGGATATATCCGGCGCTCGTACCGAAAGGGTTAATGGTAATACCTGAACGGTTCGGTGCCCGGTTCTCTCGCGATCACTTTCTTCAATATCTCCGAAGGGGTTAACTCGCTGATTCCGAAAGGACCGTGCCTGCCTTGAAGCTCGTACAACACTATCGCGAACGAATAAACGTCTCCTCTCTGATAGTCCCGTACAGTTGGCTCCTGACTTTTCGTCGATCGTAATAACTCTGGCGCACGATACAGCAAACCTGTTGAACGATCGTTTTCAATTTGCTATCAAGTAAAATAGAGAGCTTTGAACTTTAATATTAAACAACATTTAAACCTAGTTAGTTACAAGAACTTGCTTTTAAAAGGAAACGAATTTAAAACAACTTCGTTTTGTAGTGGCTGAAATATATTAAATCACAGTTTCATTAGTACTATTGCTCAATTTCATTTTATCTGTCAGTATTAGTACTAATAGAAATATACAGACTGAGAATTAGTAGCTTTTTTAGAATATGAAGATGTATGTAAAATTCAGTTAGTTGAAACTCTGTATATTTGTCATAGAGTTGCAGAAAAATAAATTACCGTGATACTTCTTCATAACGTCACACGGCTCACACTCGGCGTCCTTTTTAAATTCGTGCAATCCAAAGTCCGCCAGCTTTACGACCCATCGAGAATCCACCAAGCAGTTCGACGTACTCAACGAACCGTGATATTTCATGACAGATTCGTGCAGATAGATCATACCCTG